TTAGTATGAAATAAAATGATAATAGTATGAAATAAAATAGAAATAGAATGAAATATTATAAAAATAGTATGAAATAATTACGGATAATATAAAATAAATATAGATATGATTTATAAATTAATTATTCAATAAAAATTAACTATGAAAAGTCATGTGATATACTAAAATTCATATCACAACAATATATAAAACATATGTAAATAATATAGAAATTATAAAGTTAATTAATAATAAATAAATAATAAATAATAAATTACATATAAAATTACATGTATAAGTCACATGTAGAAATCACATGTTAAAATCACATGTTACATATAAAAGTTATATGATTTCAAATTTGTTCAATAAGAATATAATAAATTAAATAATTAAATAATAAATAATTAAATTAAATAAATTTAATTATAAAAAATATTAAAATAATAAAAATAATTAAATATTAATAAAATAACTATATTATAGAATATTTGAATTATAACACTATCTAAAAGTAATAAAACTAAAATAAACAAAAGTAATAATATTAATGACTTATTTAAAGTGGAAGAGTATCTACTACTTGTAATTCCAAGATTTAAAGATAATCCATGAAAATAATAATATATTTACAAGTAAAATATTATTAGTAAAAACTTTGTTATTTTATTAAATTAAAGAATTAGAGCATGAAAATTTCTAGTGATAAGAGATTTTTTTATATATTTTTAATCTTTTACATAATTTATATAACTAATAATTATTTTAAATTATATTACAATTTACAGATAATATTAACAATACAAAAAAAGTATAAATACTAAAAAATAAATAAAAAATTATACAAATTTATTAACAAAAAAAACACAAAAGAAAATTAGTTATAATTTTAATGATTAAAAATAAGAAAAAGTAAGAGTTTGAGTAAAAAATATTATAAAGAAAGAAAATAATAGTATGAACATGATTATAGATAATTATAATAAAAAAATTAAAAGATAAAAAGAATAATTATAACAAAAGTGAAAAATAAATATAAGAATGATTGATTAAAAATAATAAAATAAAAGATTAAAAATAAGTATAATAGAGATATAAATAAAATAAACCAATAGTAAAAATATAAATTTTATAGTAAAAAATACAAAAATAAATGAATTTAATAAAATAGTAAAAGAAAATAAAACAAAAAGTATACAAAAATGTGATTATTATTTAGATATTATAATTTAGATATCAAAAAGATAATAATATATACTAAATATAATTATATAATAGAATACAATATAAAAATAAAAATAAAGAAGCAAATTAATTTAATTATCATTAAGTTATATGACATTATATTAATATTCTTTGTAATTTTTGTTGATCAAAAATTAAATAATTATGAAATTTTTGATGAGAATGGTAATAATAATTAAAATTAAATAAATTAATAATTAAAAATCAAAAATCAATAAATTATAATAACTAATAATTAATAAAAATTGCATAATAAATAAATAAAGTAATTGATAATTTATAGTATTACTAGATATATAATCAAATCTTTCTATAATCACATCTGTTTGTAGTCATATTTCTTTATAGTTATCATATTTACATATAAATATAGTAAAAAATCTTTCTATAGTCACACCTTTTTTATAGTCATCAAATTTTGCTTTCCCAAGAGTAATGACTATAAAGAGATTTGATTATAAATAAAAGATAAATAAATAAATATTTATAAATAGAAATTGATTAAATATCACTCAGAATCTGATGATATATCATATTAGATAATCAAGAAAAATAGTGAATGGTAATAATATATATTATTTCACTTTTTCATTATTTTACTTTATATAATTAATTATTTTACTTTTATTTATTTAGTTCACTTTTTGTATTTTTGAAAAATATATAAATTTGAGTCTTAACTTGATATATTGTAACTGAAATAAAAATCTCTCTTAACAAAAATCTTTCTCTAAATATCTCTTGTCTTTTATATTTTTTTCAAATCTTGTATATAAATGATCTTATATCATATTGTATCTAACAAATTGCTGATGGCTTTATATTATATTACATCAAGCAAATTATTGTTATTGGATTATTAAGCTTTATATTATATTATACTAAACAAATTATTGTATTGGAATTATTGAAATTGAATTTTAAGTATTTTAATTTTTGTTATTTGAAATTTTTGATTGTTAACAAATATTCTTCACTTATGAAAAGAACAAAGTAAAAGAGTCTTTATTATTATTATTAACTATATTATCTTAGCTCTGAAAAGCTTTATGCAAGTACAGAAAATTAGCCTTTCAAATTCTTTTTACTATTTTTTTATTCTTTTATACTTTCTTTTTTTATTTTTGCTTTTCCATAACTCTCTTATATTATTATTTCTTTTCAAATAAATATAATTTCTGTAGAAATTGACATAGATTTTAGATATCCTTTTTTTTATCAATTTATTACTCTCTTTTAATTCAGATTCAAGTTTGTAAGCTAATTTAATGATTAGTGAACAAACTTGTAATACTATAATCTATTTCTTTTTTTATCATAATTAGGATATTTTAGATATTAAAATATCCTAAACATGACAAAAAATGTATCAGATCACGTGATAATCAACAAATTCAACCAATAAGAATGCACAAAAATCATGCACAATCAATAAGAATGTAGCAAATTTTTGATTAATCCAGCAAAACAAATTTGATATAAGAAAATAAGAAAAGATAAAAATACAAAAAATACAAAAAACAAATATCTAAAAAATATCGAAATGCCAATTTTATATACATAATCTTGATCTCAAATCTAACCCTAACCCTAATACTTGATATCTAATATTAATCGGATATTTTAATGAACCTATTTCAGATCACATGACCCGACACCTTTTTTTGTCATGGCTAGGGTACTACGGGTATTATATGTGACGTAATTACATTACAAAGCATACCACGTGAAAGTGGTCATCAGTTTACAAATTTTCGCGACTATTCACCAGTTATTATTACTCAAATCGTCACAATGTCTCGCCCAACTGGTCCTATGATTGTAAGTAAAACAGAAAACCCTAGCATGAATGAACAAAAATTCTTTTCTTCTAATACTTTTAATTTACCTTAAGCAACCTCAAATAATCTTGCTTAAAGAAGGTACCGATTCCTCTCAAGGAACGAGTCAACTTTTGTCAAATATCAATGCCTGCATGGCTGTTGTTGACACCGTACGAACTACTCTGGGACCTAGAGGAATGGACAAATTAATTGTTGATGAAAAGGGTATATATAGTTTTATTATTATCTATATCTACATGTATATAGAGAAATCACTACGAATCTGATAAATTTCGATGATTATCCATTTTTTTTAAGGCGAAGTTACCATTTCGAATGATGGCGCCACAATTATGAAACTTCTCGATATTGTTCACCCTGCTGCAAAGACTCTAGTGGATATCGCAAGATCACAGGATGCAGAAGTATAAATTGATTTTCCGGAATAATATTAAGCAATTCTATGTATATTTATAATGAATTTTCAATAATAATTAGGTCGGGGATGGTACAACTAGCGTGGTTTTGCTTGCCGGTGAATTATTAAAGGAAGTCAAAGGCTACATCGAAGAAGGTGTCAGTCCGCATGTGATAATTAAAGGTTACAGAAAAGCTGCGCAATTGGTGAATATTTTTGTATTATTTTGCATCCTATACCAAAATTCTGCGAAAGAAAATTAGATCAATTTTTAATATATTGTTTCATCTTACCTGATAGGCAATTAATAAAGTGAAAGAAATAGCTGTCAAAGTTGAACGAACAAACGAAGCGTGAGTTTCATCTAAATACTTGCATCACAAAAGAAATGCAAGATTTTCTTCAAAATACTGATTACATAATCATTGATATTAGAGAATTTCGGGAATTGCTTCTGAAGTGCGCTGGAACCGCAATGTCGTCGAAATTAATTCATTCACATGAAGAATTTTTCACAAAGATGGTTGTTGACGCGGTTTCATGTTTGGATCAAGAAGAATTAAATGAGAAATTAATAGGAATTAAAAGAGTTCCGGGCGGAGCTATGGAAGTAGGTATTTATTCTGACTTATATATTTAAATATATAATTTTTACTATTGATTAAGCGCCATTGAATTATGAATCATTATAGGATTTACATGATTTATAAATTTTATAATAGGATTCGCTTCTTATAAAGGGTGTAGCCTTCAAAAAGACCTTTTCATATGCTGGATTTGAACAACAGCCAAAGCATTTCAAGAATCCCAAAATTTTGGCTTTAAATGTCGAATTAGAGTTAAAAGCTGAAAAAGAAAATGCTGAAGTCCGTGTTGAAGATGTTAATGTAAGTAAGGAACTTAATATTTTACTACACAATAAATTATGATATATATCGACATTTTTTGTCATTAGGAATATCAAGCCATTGTAGACGCAGAATGGTCCATTATATACGCAAAACTTGAAGCTATTGTTAAAACAGGAGCAGAGATTGTTCTTTCCAAGCTCCCAATAGGCGATCTAGCAACTCAATACTTTGCTGATCGTGACATATTTTGTGCTGGTCGAGTGACAGGAGATGATCTAAATCGTGTGGTACTTGCTGTTGGCGGTTCAATTCAGTCAACATGTTCTGATATCGAAGAGCGTCATTTGGGAAAATGCGAAACTTTTGAAGAAAAGCAAATCGGTGGAGAAAGATTTAATATATTTGAAGGATGCGTTGCGGCCAAAACATGTACATTAATTCTTCGTGGAGGTGCTGAGCAGTTTATAGCCGAAGTGGAGAGAAGTTTACATGACGCAATTATGATAGTAAAGAGAGCAATCAAAAATACGTTGGTTGTTGCTGGTGGTGGGGCGACCGAGGTATGTATTAATGGACTTTGTTTATTATGTTAATAATTTTATATAATGCAGACATTTTAATTTTTTATCTATAATATAAATATAGATGGAATTGTCAAAATATCTTCGTGAACAATCACGCACTATTGAAGGAAAACAACAATTAATCATTGGGGCGTTTGGTCGTGCTCTAGAGGTTATTCCACGTCAATTGTGCGATAACGCCGGTTTTGATGCTACAGATATTCTCAATAAGCTCAGAATGGAACATGCTCGAGGTAAGTCTCTTGCTAATGCTTATTCTGCAAACACAACTAGCATTCTATAATTTGAAATATTTTTTACTTTATTCAGAAGGTGCTACCTGGTTCGGGGTTGATATCAACGCGGAATCGATTGCCAATAATTATGAAGCTTTCATTTGGGAGCCAGCATTGGTAAAGACTAATGCTATTTCTGCTGCGACCGAAGCAGCTTGTTTGATTTTGAGTGTCGATGAGACTGTGAAAAATCCACAATCTGAAAAGCCACAATCTGGTCCTCCTATGCCTAGAGGCGCAGCACAAAGAGGATTAAGAGGTCGAGGTCGGGGAATTCCTCGACGATAAACAAAGTAAATTAATAGATAATCACATTATATAATTATAATCAACAAAAAATAGATATTTTATATTTCTATTGTATTATTTGCTTAAGTTTATTATAACTGGTGCCGATTAACAAATAAAATAATGTTCACCATGCTAAAAAAGGTAATAATGCACTACAAAAATTGTGTTTTATTTTTGGAACATATGAATCTCATGTTATAGAATTAAACTATATTCTACTTTCATAGTAATTCATCTTTAATTCTTGAGCAAAATAGATCTTAAAGACTCATTCGATCAGTGTACACCAAAGCTGATCAATAGATATTTAATGAGGTCAGATCAAATTAACTAACCCAGAAACCCTTGCAGGTAGTCCCGTTAGCAGAGCGATATTAGTTTATAATTTTAACAAGGGGTATAGATACAAACAGGTTGTTAAAAGTGCTGCAGCCACAGCAAGCAAAGCGGGAGTTTGTGGCTCATAATTACAATCCACAAAACGATCTGCTTGTACAACAATTGATATACTCAAATTTTTTTGGAAAATCCTTCTTTCATTTTCTCTGACATCAAAGGAGAGTAACTATTTTTAGTTTGATTGTATCTATGACATATACATCAACCTATTACCCGAAAATCGCGATACGTCACGTGTCTAGATTGGACCATTTATTTTGAGTTTTCTAAAAATAAATCTGCCAAAATATTATTTTTATTATCCTCTCAGTAAAAAACACCTATCCACGATGCCTTTTAAAAGCTTCAGCGATCGACACGCCATTCAACAAATCTTTTTTCACATTATCGTCCATTTTCACTTGTTTCTCGCACAATTCAAGTACGCGATCTATAAGCTCTTTAGGAATACAAACAACCCCGTTTAGATCCGCGATTATAAAGTCACCGGGGTTGATTGTTATTCCAGTGTTGATAATTGTGATTGGGACGTCGAGAGCAAACGGGTGTGTGTATTTACGCGCGGAGAGGACTGATTGGCCTTTGGCAAATACCTTTAATTTTTAAACAAGCTAACAATAAAAAATTCGTATTATTGCATGAAATTGAATGATCGATAATAACTCACAGGTAACCCATCTTCACGTAACTCATCTAAATCGCGAATGCGACCATCCACCACTACGCCTTTAACACCTCGCATTCGCACTCTTGTGTTCATTAAACCTCCCCAGGCTGCGTTTGGTGTATCTAAATGCAGGAACATTTTGTTTATAATCTGATTTCCAATTATAAAAAAATTAATTCATACTGACTTGGAGGTGCAGACACAACAACAATACTTCCTTCTGGAGCTGCGTCTGCCTTTTTACAAAATGATAATAATCATCTTATAAGGAAAAAAATAGTCGATTAAGCACTACTAAATTAAATTCACACATACAAAATGTTTTTCCAGTTTCGGGGCAGGTTCCGAGAGAGGAACAAGCTAAAGATAATTAATTAAAATTTATATGAAAATTTCACAAATGACTGTTAATTTCCAAGACTACAAACGAGGGGCAGCACCTTTATCGTAAAAGCTGGACCAATACATTTACTAATTTTAGCAGTGTGTATATCAGGAGCATACATTATTATATCTTGAAGAAACCCGCCATGTGGTGGGTGGCCAATTTCTAACAGCGCATCCGCGACCTTTCGAGAAATTTATCTCATTAATTTGAGAGATATGAAATAGGATGCAAAAATAATATTACCATACATCACATGTCGAGTAATTAGCGAGACGAGTAATTTTTTCTTCCATTTAATAACGATTTAATAACGATAACAATAAAAGTTAAATTGGAAGTTCAATTCTGATTGGATAAATCAATTTTTGAAATCTATAAATTGGAGAATTGAGAGATCTACATGAATGTTTAATTAGTGAAATTATTCTAAATTTCAATGTTACACATGTAAAAAAACTAGTTATTAGTTCACTAATTAAACAGATCATGTAGATCTCTTAATTTTCCTAAAATGGAAATAATATTTTTAAAAAACGAGCATAGAAACCAGGGCATTAAATCGACGTTAGAGACGCTAAATCTTTTGAGAGCCACTGTATAGGGTTAACATTAGTTTCGAGTAGCGTAATATAAATTGACATAAGTATACACATAAAATCTATGTTTTTTATTTTTCAGATTATCATGAGTAATTGATATATAATTTATACGCTATATGTATGTGTATATAATTAATTAATATACAATAAATAATAATTTAAAACTTCGAAAATCACTTGAAAAATATTCAAAAGAATCAAAAAAATATAAAAAGAAATTACCACACCAGACTGAATACAATTATTGTTTCGCTGCTCACATAATCAACTTTGGGTCTATCGGAGGTTGTACTAAAATCACATTGTTATTGTTTAATTCACGCTTGAATGAGGTTAGATTCTGTGTAAACCGATCTCGATTTTTTGTGGTAAGATTGAGTTCGACCTCCTCCATCAGACTATCAAGAGCCTAAATGACAAACAATTATTATGTGTATACTATACAAAAAAGATTAAATTTTTTGTACCTTTTGTAGTATTTCTCTTCGTTCAGGCAATTGATATTGGATAAGATTTTGCGTATACGTATACATATACTATCAAGAAGTTTATTTATTGATATTATTTATTATTCACACTCTTTCAAATCTCAAATAAAAGAAGCCACTTACATCTCGATTCAATAAGATTAATCCCAATAGCGGTCTGGACAACGACCATTGAGTTGCCCGATCGTCAAATAAAACCGCGCCAAAATTCGCTGCAAATAGGTAAGGTAGCATATCACTATATTGTGCAAAACAATTAAGCAGCCAATGCTGTTGGATTTTTGGCTTTGAGGTCTGCTGAACTACAAATGTACAGATATGGTCGATGGCGTTGCATGCAAAAGAACATGGGGCACCATGTAATTAATATAATTCACGAGTTAAAGAGAATATATGCTGTTGCGATGCATTGAAAAAAAAATTGAACTAGTAAGGATATCAAGTTCTTGAATTCCTGCAGCGAGAGCCCGCATGATATATAAGAATGTATCAGAGCTCATCTCCGTCAACGTCATCATATGTTCATTGCTAAATGTGTCGAGCATTTCGTAGAATGCCCGTGAAAGTTTAGGATAGATCTTTACAAATGAAATGCAAATTTGTTGAAAATTGTTGAGCCAAAAAATAATGCATCTTTTTTTATAAAAAAAATACATACAATTATATCGTCAAAAGGTATATTGATGATCAAATCAAAAGTTGTCTTTAATGCCAATTCTAGAGCTTTATCGCCATATAATTCAAACACGCCGAAATTTACGTAACGTCCAACAAATGACTTCATTAGAATCCCAAAGCATACAGATACTCCTTTATACCTAGAGAAAGAACGAGAAAGGTCATTTTATTAAATTGGTAATTGAATGATTCTGTTTATTTACATAGGCTGCTTACTTTTCAGTATATTTGTCAGTGGTTATTGTAGGACGCCTTAGCCATTGAGCGCCTAAATCATTTAAAAGATTCTTTAGATAAATTTGCATTACAATAAAAGAATGAAAAATATATAAAACACAACACAGACCATATGTGCATAGTACTTTGCTAATAAAACAATTAAAGCGAACGAGTTAATATTATCAAAAAAAAATTCATCATATAATATAAATTTACCTTGTTTCTCTGAACATAAGTATCCCATTAGCAGACGAGATATCAAAAGTCAATCTGTTTGACCTGTTAAAGACAAACTCATGAAAGAACTTGAGTATAGAAATTGCCAATGGATCGTCAGCCCAAGCCTCTAAGGCATGCAAGAGAACTTGCATATGCTTTGGGTAAAACCATTCAAAAAATACTAAAAAGTTTTTGCGGCCTGTTATAGCGAGAATGAATCCTCGTAAATCGCGGAAAATACCTAACAACGTCGCCTAGATGAAAATTTTATTTTAGCGTGTTTTTATAATTTGTAATCACGAGATTTACCAAAATCAAATAATTTTTCACCTTTACAGCTTGCTGTCTGTAAGCTTCGAGCGAATTCAATGACGCTAGTTCCTGAAACGTCATATCCCACGGTTTTACAAATTCCTCAAAATCCTTTTCTGGATTATCTTCGGAGAACAAGATTCTCGATAATGCTGAATAATAAATCATACGAATCCGTTGATTGTCGGATACATCGAGAAAAGGGAAATTTTTGCCATTATGATTTTGGATAATATAATGTACGGTTTCGAGATTTCGGAGAAGTCTTACAACACTATATCTATAGTAAATAAAAATTTTACGTAATTAATATAAGCTTACTTTTTATATATAAAAGTATTCTCGCGCATTGTGAGTTAGTTATATTTACCCGCCAGATAAGTCATTAAAGAGATTTATACTTCTATTGACAACTTTTGATCGCGTCGCCCAAACTTCGAGATTAGTCGCTCTAGACATACAAATACAATAAGCCTACATCTTGAATCACAAAATCATAAGAAAATAAAACTTTTCATTTACTTACATTTTTTGAACTAACACATTGAGAAGCTAAATAAAATATAATAAAAAAACGTTATTAATGAATCTTTCCTTGAACTAATTGAAACCAAAGAGATAACCAAATACCATATTTTGATCATTAATTCCAAGAAGTGTAGATAATTTGCTGTATGCTTTAGATATACGCGTGGTGCTTTCGCCAATATAGCTTTTGCGAAATTGCTGAAAGAAATAAATAAAAGCCAATTCCAACTTTTCAAATCCACTATTGCCGCCTTGCTAATTACAAAAATAAGACAAGATAAATATTATAAAATTGAATATAGTATAATGTGAAAACATATCGCAAAATATTAAATGAATGTTGTTCTTACTGGTGAGCTATATGATTGATTCACGTTCATAAGTTGTAAAACTTTACAACTTAAATCACCATCTATAACATCTTGATCTTCAGTACTGATATAAGTCTAAATAAAAAGAGAATAACAAATTTTATTACCAATATTATCATTGAGAATGATTAAATTCCGCATAATTTTTCATACCTGCCGGCCTCCAATGACAGCACCAATTATATACACCAGCCACGCAAATTTAGCTTTGAATATTAAGAAAGGTTAACAATGTTGGTGATGAGAAAATATAAAAAATTTGCATACTTTCAATCACTTCCATAGCAGATGTAAGAGAATGATTAATTAGGCTACTTGAGGCTTGCCGAATAAGCTCCTAGTTAATTATCATCATGCACCATACATTCAAAATTGAAGAACGGAAATTAAAAACGAAAAAAAAAGCAAAAACCGACTTGGTATTCTCTCGCGATAGGATCGAAAATGCTTATAATTATTCCTGCCGATTCATCATATTTGCATCTAGCAATATGAGCAAAAATTTCCAAATCAGCAACGAGTGCATCTTCATTCTCCAATGGATCTTTAGCAAAAAATGGAAATTAGAAATTAATATCATATGTTAAACAAAAGACAAAGGTTTCGTCGAGTAAAAACCTACCGTCAGTCAAAGTCGACCCTTCTATTATCGAAGCAACGGATTCCACTTTTGAGGATATGAATGTGCGTGTCAGCTTTAAAGAAAAATATGTGACTTTTAGTCAGTCTCTCTAGCAAATAACAAATGATGATTCTCAGGCCAAAATACCTGAGATGCTATCACTTCAAGTCGATTGCCATTGGAGCCACGGGATGTTCCGTTAGAGGATAGCATTTTGGACCAAAAAATGTTCAGGTATTCAACACTACTTGAAGCCAGCTAATAGATTATTTTTACATATTAAAGCGATGTCATAATAAGCCGTGCACAAAGATAACTCTAATAGATTTATATAATTACCTGCCAAGCCTCAAATCCTTTAATTGAAAAACCAGCAACCAGATCTATCCATTCACCATATCCCGGTTTTTCGGAGATTTCAGACCATTGATATGTTGATCTAAATCTAGAGAGTAGCCGACAAAACTCGTGATAACTATTAAGATCATCCAAGTGGATAGACTGCATAAGTATCTCTGTTGTTCCTTGCATAATTCCATGAATGAATCTTGCACGTTCTTCTTCGCTAAACAGAGACCGACGAGTAGAAGATACTAGCACGAGCACTTCCATAACCTTATCGTCGATCGGGCAAAATATTATTTAGGAATCAGTATTTGAAGATTCATGAAATATCATCATCACCAACCTTACTACACAACGGGGGTTGAAATGTTTTGTAAGCTTGAAACAATGTTTGAAGGAAGGCAGGATCTTCTACTGTACTTCGCCAAGAAGTTGGGATCTAAGATTTATTAAGATTCAATATTGTATGCTAAAAACGTCATTAACAATTAATTATCCTCATAAAATACTTGAACGCTCCCGGCATCTTCAGAAGACTCATCCGGAGTTGTCCCAATGAAATCATATAACAGGCAATTGCGTAGCAAGATCAAACAATTTTCTTTCATCCTTATTTCCTGTTGAGCTATCAGATAAATTTGATATCAAATTAATTTGATGACATACAAATAATTAAACTAAGAATATTCAGGCAATAATTGATACCATTGATGAATGGCACTTCACCATTCAATAACTGTCGCAGTATATTCAGCCCCAAACGAAAAGAGTCTAATAGTTCAGCATCTCTAAATCCAGAGGCTTTATTTATGGGTAAAAATAGTAGATTAAAAAAATGTGCCAATTCATAAACAAATGCGAGATTATAGGGAAACACAAGGTCTATACTTACCTGTTTTTCTTTGTTTGGCCAAATTTTTTGCGTAATTCGTGGACAGATTAATCTCTTCGACTACTAGACTCAATATCTGTAAACCTATAACTCTATGATCTACAGTTGCCTGAATACGTACATAATAAAGTTCCCCAATATTTCATAGTTTTCATATCCATTCTTAAGCACACACGCACAAAAAACTTGATAGATTTATTCGAGAATTTCAATATCGATACAATCAGCTATAAGATACCTGTAAAAAACTTGACAGATCGCTTGTGACATTCTTAAAATCCTCACTATCAAACCACCCGGCTTTGGTGATAGTGGCAAACAGCTGTGCTAACGATGCAATGACAAATGGTTGTTGATCTGGATGCTGTCCCATATAATTCAGCACAAAATTTCCTTTTATTTATTGATGTGCAACAATTATATATATTGAGACATTGATGAAGAGAGAAACACAATGTGAAAACCACACGACATCATTATTAAATTCTAATTTGTGCCTCTTGCCAAAATGCGGTACAGAAAATAGATAGGGCAGCAGCTCAAACCGTACTCAATTCTATCTTTTGAGGCAAAGAGAACGTTGAGAAATGATCCAAGACCAAATGTTTGAGTTTTGCCGAAGCAAACATTTGAGCATATGGCGAATTTGACTTTTGCAGCAGTAATTGACAGTAAAGCGAGCATTCGGCTGGTGTCTGAACAACTATCCCAATGGGGTTCACAGGTGGTGAGGTGCTACTGTTTGGTATTCTTGTAGTAACAGAAAAAGGCGGGAAAGCATAATCTAATAATTTTTCTGCGTTCGTGCGCTGTTCCTGAGTTTTTGGGTTATAGAGGTCTATCCAACACGAAGCAAAAGGAACCATGGTTGAGCAACACGCGCATTGTAGAGAGCAAATAACCTCAGGGCTCGTTAACCTTGACATAGGGTTTCCAAATATTGTAAGTTTTGAGAATGAAGTCCGTCCATCGTGTTCAAGGCTAGCTAGATTTTGGTAATGAAAGGTCAGAACAGACAGACAGAAAACGGGAGAACGAAAAATCGCAAAGTTTTAGTCTGGTGATGTGCACTAATTTCGTGCGACAACGGTAATTAATGATATCATATAACCGATTGGATTGATCACGTAGCTTCGTGTCACGTAAAAAAATTATATAGACACACGCGAGCTGCCATTTTTTGAATCTTTACAACTAAAGGATGGATATAGATGAAGAGACATATAAAGTTGAAAAAGAACTGTGGGTGACCGGGCATAACGGTGGTTCTATGTGGGAAATTAATTCAGTTGCTGGCGTATTATTAGTTAGTATGACATTACCTTCAAAATATGAATGAAGTCCATTAGCTTGTTTCTTGCTTTAAAATACTTTGCTCAATTTACTTATCTTTTTTATAGAGTTCTTATATTCTTTGGTCTACCTTAACAAAAAAGACATCCAGCTTCAAATTCTACAATTCGTTTGCAAAAACTTTTCTTTTAGAATATTTAATAATAATTATTCCCTCACTCTTAGCATGTACAATTTTATCTTCATATACATTTTATCTCAACATATTATTCATAATACTATCCGGATACATAAGCCATCATAATAGACCCAAGAAAGAAGCAGAACCGAAACCGAAGAAATCGTATTGGGCAAGAAAACGTAAAGGAGGAGATAGTAGTGATAGTGGTAGTAGTAATAGTAGTGAAAATGAGATGGAATTACTTGTAGATCAAACTGTAAAAGTTGTTGGAAATGATGAGGAGGAACAGTATGATGATGAAAAATGGAAAAAGGAAAAACGGATAAATTCACATAAACCTTTTCTGAGTGTTCATAGAGCTGGCATGATGATTTTGACTTGCATTTCGATTTTGGCTGTTGATTTTCCTGCGTTTCCGAGACGTTTTGCTAAAGTTGAGACATTTGGTACTTCATTGGTAACTATAAATTATTTTGCTTTTTTATTTATTAGGATTGTGTATTTATATATTTTGCATTGTGATTGTTTTTTATATAGATGGATCTTGGTGTTGGATCATTCGTCTTTTCGGCGGGTATTGTGGCCGCGAAACCATTTCTAAAGAAACCCGAGAATCGGTTTAAACCACTCAGCGGACAACTAATCCGCGTTTTTCGACAATCGATACCAATCTTAACATTAGGTTTTATACGATTTTTTATGATAAAAGGAGTAAATTATCAGGTAGGCTCTAGATTCTTGCTAATAAGCTTACCGAATTCATTATGAAATATTTAATTATACATTTCATTCATTATGAAAGGAACATGTGACCGAATATGGAGTACATTGGAATTTTTTCTTTACATTAGGATTTCTGCCGATTTTCGTCACGCTTTGTCGTACTCTCCAAAAGTATACTAGATTCTCGGTAGTTGGATTAGGAATCGGCCTAAGTTCGTATATATGTTACACAAAAGTCATTTTGGTTTTTTGTTACTACGATAAAATATTAATTGAACCAAAATAGTATATCAATATCTTTTATCTAAATTTGGACTTCAGAATTATATTCAATACGCGTCGCGTACAAATCTAATTAGTGCGAATAAAGAAGGCATATGTAGTTTCTTTGGTAAGTTTAAACTATATTCATTCTATATAGAATAAAAAAATTTAACATGCTATTAAAAGAAACCCAATGGAAACTCTTTCACTAAACATCAGGTTATCTTGCGATCTTTCTGATCGCTCTCGACACCGGTCACTACATACTACCCACCGATCCATACTACGCATTCCGCGAAAACCGACAAAACAAAAAACCGAAACCGAAAAAACTCGCCATGATCTTATTCTCGTGGTCTTGTCTCTGGTGGCTAGCATTCATGGTGACAATGCTGTTACGAGTAGACATATCACGCCAGATGGCAAATTTACCGTATATCCTCTGGGTGACTGCTTTTAACACAACATTTTTGTTGTTGTTTCAACTGGTCGAATTGTATTTCTTTCCAAATTATTGGAAAACGGGGGCTAAAACTTTGCCGCAAGTGGTGGAGGCTGTTAATACGAATGGATTGGCGGTGTTTTTGCTGGTATGTCGGTCTCTTTTTTTCACATGAATAATCGAATGAGTGCTATATTTATTTTCCAATTCCCATTTAATTTTTTCCCGCTTTAGGCAAATCTTTTAACTGGATTAGTTAATATTAGTTTTAGAACACTTTACACATCGGATTTTGTAGCTGAATTGATTCTTTCTGTTTATCTTTTTGTTATTTCATTGGTTGCTATTTTTTGGTGGCAGAAAGGTTGGCGAATCAAATTGTAATCTAGTATTTATTAAAAATGTATGATTTTTTAGATTTAGAAATTTTGATTTAGACATAACTTAATATTGTTGATTTGGAAAGAGATCAAGAACACGGAAAAATGCCTAAATTAAACTATTCGTTAATGCAATCTGCGAGACCGTGCGTCGTTTCTGTCGTGTAATCAGAAATTTAATAAAAAAATGATCGAACAATTATAATTCGTCTCGACTTGCTTGTCTGGCAATCTTGAAATTTATTAGACAATGTCGACTTCTATTGATTACAGAAAGATTAAAGAATTCGCTGCGCGTTATCCTAAACCTGATGGCGTGTCTTTTGTTTATGGAACGGCTGGTTTTCGCACAAAGTACGTGTTTTTTCTGCTCGTAGAACATTATTTTACACGTTCTTTTGTCACCAAACTCCTTTTCGTCTTAATAGGGCAGAACTCTTGGATTCGGTTATCTTTCGTGTCGGTATTTTAGGTGCGCTACGTTCAAAGAAACTCGATTCGAAAACTATCGGTATCATGATAACTGCCTCGCATAATCCGGAAGAAGTAAAAACTTTTTATCAACTCAATCACAAATATCAACAACTAATCGAAAATATGTTTAAAAATAAAGGATAATGGTGTCAAGCTTGTGGATCCATACGGCGAAATGCTCGAACAAAAATGGGAGATATATGCAACTCAATTGGCAAATGCATCTAATGCTGACGTGCTAGTAAATGTTGTTAAAGATATCGTAGCCGTAAATGATATTGATCCTACGAAAAAGGCCACGGTGGTATATGCTCGCGATACAAGGTATTCGAATTACCCATCATATAATTCTCCTTAATTTGTCAAGGTTTTGATTTAAATTTTTCTTTGTCACATAATTCTTCATGTACAATAACGAATGATCATAGACCAAGCGGAGTAAGCCTGATAGAAGCTCTTGAACATGGGTTGACGGCAGTTGACGCCAATTTAGTGAACTTTGGAATAAAGACTACACCTCAACTTCATTACGTCGCTCGATGTTATAATACTCTAGGTGCCGAGAACTCGTATGGTGAGCCAACCGAGGAAGGTTATTACAAAAAACTTGCGATTGCCTACCGTAAGATTGTGGTAAGTGCTGAAGTTGAGACAATTTAGAAAAGAGCTATTGTTCTCAAGTAATCACAACTTTATCTCTATATCAGGAAGGTTTACCACGTCTTCCTAAAATCAAAGTAGATTCAGCGAACGGTGTAGGTGCACCAAAACTGAGAGAACTCGCAAAATTTATCGGAGAAGATATTCTTGATGTCAAAATTATCAATGATGATATTAATACAAGAGGAAAATTGAATTATCAAGTAAGAAATTGCTAGATTTGATATATTATTATCTTCTAAAGACATTAAAATTACGATAATTAGTGCGGGGCAGACTTTGTAAAAACTCAACAAAGGGTTCCACTTGGCTTAGTTTTGCCAGCTGAACAGCGAGCTGCTTCATTCGATGGTGATGCTGATCGAATCGTTTATTACTATAACGATTCGGACGGTACATTTAAACTTTTGGATGGCGACAAGATCGCTAGTTTAGCTGCGGGTTTTATCATAGAATTGATAAAAGTAGCAGGTCTTGAAGGGATCAATATCGGTGTTGTCCAAACAGCATATGCTAACGGAAGCTCTACAAATTATCTCACAAAAGTTTTGGTAAGTAAATATTTAACATAATTATAATTTTAAATTTATTGATTTATATTCATTATGATACAGGGAGTTCCCGTATCTTGCGTTTCTACAGGGGTAAAACATCTTCATCATGAAGCTGAAAAGTATGATGTGGGTGTATATTTTGAAGCTAACGGTCATGGGACTGTTCTATTTAGTCCAAAAGCACAAGCCGTAATTCGTAAAGCAGAAGGGTAAGGAATTATGAAATTATGAAATTATAATTAAACACCTAGTGTTTAATGAAATTTGCCATTGCTTGCCAAATATAGAAAAACTCCTGAAAATGTCAGTGCCATAGAGAAATTACGTGCTTTGATCTCTCTAATTAATCAAACAGTCGGTGATGCACTTTCTGACTTGTTACTTGTCGAAGCAATTCTCACGTATCGACAATGGACTCCTAAACAATGGGATCTAGCATACACCGATCTGCCAAATCGTTTGGTTAAAGTTGTGGTAAGCACGCAAACAAAACATAAACTTTAAATTTTTATTGTGACTGTTTATTATTTATTGTTATTATGTAAGTAAAGAAAATATATAGAGATCATTTCTTTTCAATTCTTATATAAATTAAAGGTTTCAAATCGGCACATTTTTAAAACGACTGATGCCGAAAGGAAACTAGTTGAACCCAAAGGACTACAAGAAAAGATTGACCGATTAGTGCAACAATATAAAGGCGGTCGATCTTTTGTGCGGTAAGTTTCCTGATTATTTGATGTCGTCATATGTTGATATCATTTTATTTGATGTCGTCATGTGTTGATATCATTTTATTTGATGATTGATCGATTGATGTGTGATTTTAAATCCACGTTTTTTTTCTTTTGGATTTTAATCGTAAAGTCCATCTGGCACTGAAGATGTCGTTAGGGTATATGCAGAAGCAGCCACTCGCCATGAATGCGACGAGCTTGCATTCAAAGTTAGTGGACTCGTGTATGACGAAGCAGGTGGTATTGGCGGACGACCAAAAGAGTTTTTGTAAAACATAAAACAACAAACAATCAAACAATGGATGCGTAGAATTATTTAAATTTAGTTTTTATTTATTAATTATTTTCAAGAAGAATATTATATTCAGCATGTTCAAGAACTAAAGTATTAATAATGAATTCCTATTGTTGTATTATTACTAATAGATCTTTAATTTCTCCAAGTGATACTCTGATTTTTTACATTTGTCAAACAAAAAAAGTCGTAATTCCTCACTTTGGAAAATTTTAGTTAAATTAAAAGTTGCGTCATTAACGTTAAATGCAAATCTCTTGACCTTCGTGTGCACCATGACACAACTTTGTACTACTTCAACATGTGAATTCTTCCCACATATCGATATTTTTTACACACACACATTGATGCCATGATGATGCAGAATGCACAAATCTTTCCGTTTGTGGTAACGGTAAGATGGAGAAAATCATTTTTAAATTCAAACGACTTAAAAAAGTCAAGTTGCACCAAGTGCAAATACTTTGGGTTTCTCATAAACTTCAACACTTCATTAAACGACCGTAATTTTTTCGTGACATTGCCATCTTCGAAATACAAGTTATTAGAACTATGGATTCCTTGAAACTTCGACCTGATAGTGGTAATCGTCTACACACCACTTCTGCCTTTGTAAAGTATCTAGGTCAATTGGCTTTCCTATCTAGTCAGTTAGCAGCAATTCAGTCAATCAAATCAAATTAGAGAAAACACATTTTTACGCGAAATTTGTCTTGTCATTTGAGACCAAGCAATCTTCTGACCGCAATGTCATATTAGCAATTTTACTGTTCGTTGCGATTCTTCTCACTCACCTCTTGGTCAAATATTTTACATTTAGGACTTTCAAAGCTCCAGTTTAAGTGTCGCGGCAAAGACCATGCAAAGAGAGTTAAATAAGCTTATCGGTCAAACTGATGTGCAGAATCGTCGTGTAATTGAATTTATCATTCATTAATCTCGTGCATTTACTGATTTTTAAACCTGATTTTCATAGATATTCTACAAAATATATTTACAAAATATACGTGTATTTATTTAGGCTTTTAAAAATGAAATGGATAACTTTTACTATTTGTTTACTCGATATTTGGGTGAGCATAAAGGCTCCAAACTGTAAGCTTTGAAATTTACGCGTTTCCTTGATTTAATAAAAAATGAATGAATAGACATTAATTTGATGATTTTTTTGATAAAACAGTGACTGGGATAAAGTAAAGGAGCCAAGTCCGGAACAAATCATTCCGTACGATTCTCTACTTGAAATCGATAACGGGGAACATCTCAGTAAATTGGCCGTCCTGAAACTGAATGGTGGACTTGGCACAACCATGGGATGTGTTGGTCCAAAAAGTGCTATTGCAGTGAGAAATGGAATGACGTTCTTGGATTTAAGTGTTAGGCAGATCGAGGTAACCTAAAATCAATTGATAAACAGCGCAAATACTTTTCTTATGTCGTATTAATAGAATGCTTGTTTGCATTTATTCTCGCAATACCAATCGATCAGTTTCTCAATTCAAAGTATAGTGTTGATGTACCATTTATACTTATGAATTCTTTCAACACTGATGAAGAAACCAAGCGCATCATTCAAAAATACGAAGCACATAAAATTAACATTATGACCTTTAACCAATCCCGGTATCCTCGGATCAACAAAGAATCATTGCAACCTACGCCTCGTTCCCCCAATTCGGACATTAGTCAATGGTAAATATTCGTTTCAATTAAATGAATGAGGATAGAATAGAGATTTGCCAATATAACAAGAAATACCGATGATTAGGTACCCACCAGGTCACGGAGACTTGTTCGATTCCTTGTATAACTCTGGCACATTGGACAAATTGCTTGCCGAAGGCAAAGAGTATCTTTTTGTATCGAACGTGGATAATTTGGGAGCTGTAGTCGATCCAAGAATACTTCAACACATGGTAGACAGTAACGCAGAGTTCATTATGGAAGTAACTGATAAGACAAAGGCCGATATCAAAGGGGGTACTCTGATCAACTATGATGGAATAGTGAGACTACTTGAAGTGGCACAAGTTCCACCGGAACACGTTCAAGAATTCAAATCCATTAAAAAATTCAGAATTTTCAACACAAACAATCTATGGATGAATTTAAAGGCAATCAAACGTGTGATCGAGGATCGAGAACTCGCTCTTGAAGTTATCGTCAACGAGAAAACAATCGAGACTGGTGAAATAGTAATTCAATTAGAAACTGCTGTTGGTGCCGCCATCAAACATTTCAAGAACGCACATGGTGTCAATGTTAAAAGGAGTCGTTTCTTACCTGTAAAGTCCACCTCGGATCTTTTCCTTGTTACGTCAGACTTATATTCATTGAATCACGGTGAGCTTGTGATGAATCCTAAACGTTTGTTCCAAACGGTTCCATTAGTGAAATTGGGAGACGAATTTAAAAAGGTTAGTTTTTCCATTTGCTTTACATTGCATTAAGAAAGTTTGCTAAAAAAATCTTTATCAATAATTAGGTTGCCAATTTCTTATCACGATTTCAATCCATTCCATATATTCTCGAGCTTGATCACTTAACAGTCACTGGAGATGTTACTTTTGGTGCTGGTGTCCAGCTAAAAGGCACGGTTATCATTGTGGCAAATCAAGGTGCCAGAATCGATATTCCACCCGGTTCTATTTTGGAGAATAAAGTGTTATCAGGGAATTTACGTTTGCTTGATCACTGAAGGGAAAAAAACATTGATCCGATTTTCATTTCGTTTTTTGATTTATTTATTTATTTTCATGAATGATTGTATTTCTTTTTTTATAGTTAAACGTCGTTCAATATAAAACGTTTAAAATAAATTATTCTCCAACTTGCAGTTACGCGTCATTCTCGGAAAAGTAGCCACTATTTACTTTATGACAGGAAGACATTAAACCTGGGCTAAAAGTAATAAAAAGGATAAACGGGATAAAAGAATTGTCGTCTTCCGAACTTCGAGTGTCATCGATTCCAACCGCCTACCGTAATCGCATTCTAACTTCTGACGTTAATGGTAATCAACCCACCACACGTTCCACTGCTAATAAAAATCATAACATAGAAATAATAGATATACCACAAACTGCATCCCGCGAAAATACGACAGCAAAATATCAGGAAAAAGTAACTAACGCAAGTTGTCATTCTTTATCCCAAAATAAAATGATTGGATTTGCATACTCAGTTATGATTTTGTATTCATCGCTCTGATATGACCTTTCAAGTGCATTCCAACATCGTTTTTACACTCTCAATATTGCTCGCTCTTCAAGGATATATATTATGCTGAATAAATAACTTCAAAGGATATCACTAAATCCTGATGACGTGAATATTACTCAAGATGGACTTGGGTTCTGTTTCGCTCATATGTACGCGTCTTTTTCATTGGATTAGTCCAAACAGCGCAAAAAATGTTTGACAGATATTTGCACCTGGGCAAATGGAGATTATGAAGGTTATCTGGTCAAAAAATCCTGAAATTGCTCGTCTTTCATAGCAATGGCAACACCTCAATATGTATCCAATTTTAAAGGTGGGTATAAATCTCATCGCCAAAAGATAGAAACTTCAATCAAAAGAATTTGTCTATAACCTTCGGTCTCGGCACTACCAAAATATCTTGATTGTTGGAAAACCTCGAGATCTATAAAAAGCAGTTTGAAATATCGATTTCACAATTTACTGATCATTTGTATCACCTATCAATAAAATTAGTGAACTAGACAAAGTGTAAAATGAGTGTCCTTCGTCGATTTAAAGCCTCTGATTTGTTACGTTTCAATAACATGTATGTAGTAGTAATATATTATAAAGCTTATAATTCGTGAAAAAGGAAGAGAAATTGTGGGAAAAGTTGATAATACTAATTTAATTGCTACACTCAACAATTAAAAAACAAAGAAATCTTGATTCTCTCACAGAAACGGTAAAGAATAAAATCGATGTCAATTATTCGTCAAATATATCTAGATTCTTAAAAATCAAACAAAAATAGTACGGCATCACATTTTACCTATCATACCTTGCAAGATGGCCTGATCTTTTCTGCGTGCAAGAATCACCGAACGGCACATTAATGGGCTACGGTATGAAAAAACAGCACTTTCTTAATATTCTTTCATAGTTGCGATCTTTTTATTTATCTTGAGCGCGTTTATTCATGCGATATAGTCATGGGAAAAGCTGAAGGACGAGGTAAAGAATGGCATGGACACGTGACAGCTATCACAGTTGCTCCCGAGTACCGACGAATAGGTCTTGCGGAAGGAATGATGCAGTTACTAGAAACCGTGTCGGATAAGACGCAAGTAAATTTCATTATCTTCTTCAAAATCCATGATCTGACTTTGGATATCATTTATTTCTTTTATGTGTAGATACAAAGGATACTTTGTGGATCTGTTTGTACGCGTTTCTAATTCGGTAGCAATACAAATGTACAAGAAGTTCGGATATACTGTATATCGACGTGTTTTAGGATACTATTATTCGTCGGGTGATAATGAGGAGGATGCGTTTGGTGAGCGTATATTTAAAATATTGTTAGTGGTAGCATTAGAATTGATTACTGACCGAGCACTTTTTTCTAGATATGCGAAAACCATTATCACGAGATACTGATCATCAGAGTATTGTGACGAATGGTGAAAACAAAAAAGTGAGACCGGAGGATTTGTGAAGTTTCACATAACAGGAAAAAGGATTCACGTTATTTTTATGTTGAAAAATCAAAGCAGAGATTCTTTATCATTTAAATAGTATTTAGAATAATCCTTTTTACAAATAGCATTAAATTTTCATGTACTTTATCAAATATTGGTGTATATGTTCGGGTGAAATAATGAGAACTCAACAATTGTTTGTATCGTTCGCGACATAATTATCCGGAATTTAGTCATGTATATAAAAATCCACCAAATTTTACATTATTTCTTTAAAATTTATAATATAGACGGCTTACAATGTAAAGAATGTACATTTCGGTTTTTAATATTATATAGTGTAACTGTCATTATCAATGAATTTATTAATCCGATCCGACATACTATTCGCTAGATTAAAGAATAAACTTTGATCAAGATCCTCCCATTCGCTTCGAATTATGCCTTGAAAATCGGTAGTGGTAAAACGGTATTTTTTTTCCCTAGTTCAGTTGTTTACCTTAACTTCTACTTTTTTCTGAGAATGGCCCATAGATCCTCAATCGGATTTAAATCGGGCGAGTTCGCAGGCCAATCAATCACCAGAACATTATGCGATGCAAAAAATTGACGGGTAAGCTTTGAGCTATGTATTGGTGCATTATTTTGTTGATCTTCCATTTTAATATCGACAAACAGGTACGATGGTAACACATTCTGTGCTACTAATAAAAATTATGTCGCGAACGATAATCGTGTAATTATTAATGTTCATGCAGAGTAAAGGTGATTGAGATGAATAGGCTAAAAAGCAAGTATAATTAACGATTCTTCTTTATTTAATGTTTTGATAACTAATTAATTAATACAGAAAGAAAATGTCGCCCGAAATACATTTTCTGTTCATGGTAATAATAATAATCATCATCATCATCATCTACACTGTTAGCATTCGTAAATAATAATAATAATAATGATAATAATTCAATCAGGAAATTCAGTTTGAAATTCAAATGTTCTTCGACCAGCTTTCATCTTACTAGTCAGTACATCTTTATCGAAACCCAATGGTCCACATTCTATCGCCACCAAAACCCTTAACGATCTTAAATCTAAATCGAGGGAAAAACCATCAAAAATCTTCCCTCAAAAACAACGAGAATGAAAAATAAAAACAAAATACCTCTTGCCCAATTAACACGATCCAACAATACTTGTCCATGAACCCAATCACAAAAGGACAAGTCTAAAAATAAAAGATTAATGAGCCCTCTCGACAGAGTATTTAATGCAAGAGGTCCATTGTCACTTAATAAAGAGAAATTATTGAAACATCCAGCAATTGACAAGTGTGTTAAAAGTGGTAAAGTTGTGACAAGTAATGTGCTCAATTTTGCCGCGTCTATGTTTGGAATGAATGATAAATTTAGATGACGAAGATTTCGTAGAATGCAAATATACTTTGTGGTTGAGATTGATAGTAAAGGTGGTGATAGATGGATTATGTGCATTTCTGAAAAAGAAGATGATGATGACAAAAATGTTAATATATTTTTATTCTTTTTGGTCATGTTCAATTGAAGCTTGATAATTGGAAAAATACCATCATCATCCGAAATTTTGTTGTTATTTGCACTATAATCATCATTACAATTATCATCGTCGTCAACAAGTCTTTCCCAATCATCTACAACACTTTGCTCATCTGCTGTTTCTCCTCTTTTATAATTATTGCTGTTCCTCTTATTTCTCTTTTTAGGAACTTTCCAGAACGCTTTTCTTAAGCACTCGAACGAGATCGTACTATTTGCAAGATCCAGCTCCTCATATTCCCGATCCTTGGCGAATAACGACAGCAACAGATCATCATCCAAAGGATGATACGTGGTTGCCACGGAGAGTATTCTTTGTTTAAGGTGAGTGGGTATTTTGGAAAAGTATGGATGTGATTTATAACTAGTGATATTGAGGGTGACAATTTTTGTACACATGTCAACTAGTGATGGTATACCACTTTTGTTTAAGGAACCTGATCATAATAATATACAATAGATTGATTATTTACTATTCTTGTATTCATGATGATAAAATCATAGCTATAAAGTCTGTTTTTTCAATGCGAGGTGGGATATAATAATTACAACGATAAGTATAATAGAGACAAGTCTCACCATCCCACACCCGTTTTTTCCTTTTTCGTTCTTTACATTCGTGCTTACCCTCTAGATTTTTATGCCATATGTATTGCCAACTCTTTGGCGGCGCAGGACCAAAAGAAACTCGATGCCTACCACAAAAAACCAAGAAAAGATCAATTAATAATCAAATGAGAACAATATTATGACAAGAATACCGAAAAACTACCTTAACGAAATATCATCCTGTTGTTCACGTTGTAAAGCACGATCGCCCAATTCATGTTGCACATAGGCAGGAAGTCGAACATTTGAAAAAGATACGTCTCTATTAATATTAATGTTACTATTATTGTTGTTGTTGTTATTATTATTATTTCTAGCAGATCTTGAGCTTTCTCGCCGAGATTGCTCTATCAAGGCAGAAACAGATATTCCGCTAGTTCTCGAAGAAGAGGAACCACTACTATTATTATTAGTTGTTGAATTAAAAGAGTTCTTTGTGTTGTCAGTTAAGGATCTATATAGTTGTCTGGCTTTCTTTGACCCACTTTTGACCATGTCAAAGAACAAGGATGCATAGTGATAATGATTTTGTGTGGCTTTATTTACGTTTAAGTGTGACGAAGATCCAACCAAGCGAAATTACGTATAAAATCGCAGTATATACGCAAAATCGCAGTATGTACGCAAAATCGAAACGCCAAGTTCAATGAGATCTTGGATAATTCGTATAAAGTTATAAAATGGGTTTGTTGTCATTGAGAAAAATAAATTAAAAAATGGCCACCAACAGCGGAGCTACCGAGTTACCACAATCAACTCCTGTATTAATTGGACAATTGTTACAGCGTAGAAAATTTATCGTAATTTTTCTTGATAATTCTCAAGCAATTTTCCACAAAAAAGTATACTAAAAAAAATATCTGTCTTTACAAAAAAGGTTAATGAAAGCAACAAAGTCACGCAGTTTGGCAAAGAAACAATTTCCAGCACTTCGACTGTTTTCCTGAGAGATTGCAATGACTGTGAATATATTATCGATGGTACCTGTACCAAAGTTATGATCGGTAAATATTTCTAAAACTATCGATCGATAAAATTGTATACCTACCGATACGAAATTCTTATGTGCGATATGTAATGATAATCATCTACTACTAGAAAACTGCAATAATCTCGTCTTGAAGGCGAATAAGAAAATCGTTACGTCTATAATTGAAGTATGGAAGTCACAAAATGTCACGCTCAAGGTTTGATTTGCCTATTCTAGAACATTCGAAACCTTTGCGAATTAAATTAATGTGGATTTTTTTTATGTGTAGATTAATTCTCAAGTTCAAACACTTCAACTAGACGATTGTCATAAGGTCAATGTTGAATATGATTCCGTGAAACATTTTCACTCTATCGTCTGGACCGGGACTAAAGAATTAGAATTGACACTTTTAGAAGACGGAGAAGGTATGTGAATAATCATAATATTATTCTTATGTAATAATATTTACCTAATAAGGATTTTAAATTAAAAAAACTAGTAAAACACAAAATCACAAAAACGCAAGAACAAGAATCGAGTAATAACAGCCAACCAACTCAGTCTATCATCAGGTTGATTAACGGAGAATTAGTCGAAGAACGTTTGATTCGTGCCGAGAAAGGGTATCCGATAACCGAGCGGGAATTGCGTGAATGGAAGCAGAAAAATAACGTTGCTTAGTTAATTTTCTCTGACCATTTTTAATTATTTTTGCGTTTTTTTTTTTTTTTTACTTTTAGGGAGTAAATAATTATTTTCCGTTCTTTTTTTTTATTGGTATTCCATTATTAATCATTGGGAAGTGATAGTATAATAAAGAAAGTGTCACATATATATTTAACATTCTCGTTTATCTTGTCAAAACAGTCGATTCATATATACATGCACTACAAAAAATCTTTTTGTTATGATTATCCGGGGAAAATAATCGTCTTCGTGATTATGTTTGTAATTAATTCAAATGGGGTAATACGATGAACACTTTATGAAAAATTAGCCCTAATTATTTATATTGCTGTCAAACATATCGACCACTTACTGTCATATTAACAAATTAGTGTTTATATAATGCTACGTGGTGGTCGGACACCGCGTGTACATAACTCGTTGCCGTGAATCTATGTATTCATCGTGTTTTAGAGGGAAATCATGCATGGATAACAATAGGGATTATTTTAATTATTTATATCCTTTATTTTCTTTCGGAATAATATTTTATTTCTATGAAGCAGTTCGATTAAGAAATTTGGTTCTTTCTAAAGATTCATTGACAAAACCGTATACATGTATTGAAATCTTTGTTATCTAGACTATCAAAGGCAAAGATTCACATTTGAATATAATAAAGAATCTTCGATCGAAATTGAAGATAATAAATTTTTTTTGGGAGAAAAGGGTATATAAGGAAATTCGGTCAAATATTATTACAAATTACAATGGGTGGAAAAGCCCCCACAAGGTAAACTAAAAATTAAATTAATCATATCCAAAATAGAAAAAAAACACCAAAGTAACTAATAATAGAATAATAGAATGACAAAAAATTTGATCAATGTGTACGACCACAACAGATGCAGGATGACTCAATAATGATAAACTAGAAATTCTTCATTATTGTTATATTCTATGCGTAAGGGAGAAAAATTATAAAATTATGACGATGATTTTAGATAAAACAACGTGAAAACATGGAAATTGAATCAACTTTACTAGTTTTCTCGCACCAATCTGTTATTAACAGACATGAATAATGTAAATCAGCTGAGTTATCAATATTTTTATATTTTAAGATTTTTTATATTTTAAATTAGAACTGACAATCAACGAAACAGAAACAACGCTTTGTTCGTTACATTTTACTACTATATATACGCTTATAATTGCAGAAATTTGAATCTATTTATGATATTTTAAATTTAATGCACATGTATGCATGCATACCTTTTAGTCTTTTTCTCTTGTATGTGTCATTACGCCTACATCTCCTGACGAATGTTTCATACTCTTCGCTTTCGATGATTACACCCACTGCCTCTTTGATTATTATTTATGTATTTATCATTATCTATTATACACTAATTTCGCATTACAACTATTTATTATTAGTGCAACCAAAAAATAATGCAAGATGGCGCAGCAGCAATCAACACATAATTATTTATTGCTATTAAAAGTAGACATAAAAATATATATTATTTTTACACAACCTAAACATTTGACCGAGTCAAATTTCTATAAACTTTTTCACTAATTGATAGTAATAGTAGCTTTTTGTGGGGGTTTTTACACTTCTTATTTATTCGTCAATTACGATTAATAAACATTTTGGTAGTGGTGGGATTTTTCCTACGTGAACATTTGACGCGAAACTGTTGAATATAATAAATTATATTGTTCCATGCATTGTTAAATAAAAAGCACTCTATCTATTTATTATTACACGTATCAAAAAAGAAAATGGTGAAAATTATAACATTAACGATAACTAGAGACAGAGGAGCACAAACTTCAGTTAAATTAGCAAAAGAGCTTTTATCATTACTATTAACATTACTAATACTCTCGAACATAACAACAATACAAATAACCATAAATGCTGAAGAGCTCAACATACCGGTGCTTGCTGGTCACTCAGCCGCAATGATAAAAGACTATATGGTGATATTTGGTGGGATCCCAGGTTCAAGTGTAGATATATATAAAGGTTATGGTGGAGCGGTCACGAACAATGTTTATGTATGGAACGCAAAAACGCAGTATTGGATTGTTCCAAACATACAAGGTTCGATACCTTCAGGGCAGAAATTTGCTCCGGCCGTGACAGCCCAAGCTGATAATACAATGTTGGTACAATTGACAAATGCTACTAGTGCACAAGGTAGTCTTGCCAAACTTGATACATCAAGTTGGACTTGGGCTATAACGAAATCGAATCCACCATGTAAGTTGTATCTTCGTGTATACGGTATATTTATTTGTGAATGGGTAAGGGGAGGGATCTATATTAAATTATTGCGATGTGGGTTTTTTCTACAGTCGATCCGCCGGCACTTGGTATAGGCATGACTTTTACGGCGGCGCAGAATTTAGTTTATAGGTTTGGTGGATATAATGTGGTCAATCAAAATCTTGGCAGTGCTAATAATCTTTTATGGAAATTGGTAAATATTTTTTTCTTCAGTATATAAGATATCAATATTAAAAGAAATCAAATTGACGTATAATATTTATTATTATTAGGAACCAAATACAGTTCGATGGAGTCAGCTGCAAAATGGACCCACTTTGACTTATCATTCTTCTTGTTATATGTCAGGTTATAATATACTTGTATTTTTTGGTGGACAAAAAGCGGATAATGATCCTGTGAGTGATTTGAATGTATTTGACCTGACCAATGGAGTTTGGAACCTTAATCCATCTATCAGTGGAGGTCCACCGCCACCACGTAAAGGCCATTCTGCGGTCTGTCAGGGAAATCGAATGATAATGTATGGTGGTGGTATTGATGCTCCTTCTGATGATGCAGTGTGGCTGTTAAATGCAACTTCATCATCCAATTTCATTTGGTCATCAGTACAAACTACAAATAAAATTATTGGCGCTGTAATGGGTATGATTAATAATGGAGTACCTTTTTTTATTGATTTTTTTTATTTTATACCTGCATTAATCTGTCTGCTTATAAATATATATTAAAGGTCACAGTGCAGTACTCTATGATAATAAGATGCTTATATTTGGAGGCATTGCCATTGGCCAAAACAAACCAAATGTACACATGCTAGACATCAATACCTGGAACTGGACGGTTTTCACTCCCGAAGGTAATGGTAATGTGTCCGGTAGTCCGGGCACTACAGATAAAAACGGTAGCAATGGCGGTGACGATATCGGTGGCAGTAGCGGTAACAGTAGCAGCAAAAAGAAGACAAATGTCGTGATTGCTATCGTGGCTGGGGTAATTTGCGGGTTGTTCTTTCTTTTGATAGTTATCGCCGCGGTGATTTTTATTCGTAGACGTTGTTTCGATAAGAAAAATGGAAAATTTGGGGCTGCATTTATTGGGCGCCGTCGCACAAATACACGTCGCGTAAACCGGGGTAGCAAACTGTCTAATATTGATGATGAGGAGGAGGAGGAGGAGGGGAGTAGAGCGCGTGATGTGAGTTATTATTCGACCGATGATCCTAGTATCGATATAATGACTGGTCGCAGTAGTAGAGATATAAGACGTAATGCATCAATTTCCGAGAGACAGATTCCAACCCCTGCAGCTGCCAGAGTGGCAAACAAAGATATAATATTAAACGTCGCTTCTCTTCCAATTCTTTTCGATGGTAGTAATGATAAATCTCATTTACCTTCGCGTGACAGATATCACAGTGGTGGTAATGGTACTGGTACTCGCTTATCACATGGCAGCATGTTACAAAAGAATATTCCCGAAGAAGAGGAAGCTGAAACTTGGACATTTGCATCATCATTAGGATTCGATCAACAAACTAATCAAACTAATCGAATGACACCGCCAATACGATATATGGCTACACCAAATCCACATCAACAGCCTTCATACTATAATGAAGATGAAGATGAAGATACTGGTGGATTTGGAGTACCTCTTGCATTACCTGTTGCTCCGCCAGATGTCACAGCTCCTCGAGTCCCGCCTGTTTCCGTTCCCGGATATTCTAGTATGAATAGCAATTCGGAAGGAAGATCTAGCTCATTACCTTCGCCTCAAACTCATAATGGGAATCCCACCGCTGATGCACCAAGTGGTGGTGTTATCTATGATGGACTTAGCCCGTTAGATCGAATAGCACGTTTATTTTCCGGTGGGGATGTGACCGGTTCAATAGTAAGAAGTGAAAAGGAAGGAGGTGGTGAATATCATTCTCAATCTCGACCACAAACTTCTCAACATCAATACAATCAACCTCAGTCACAACCTTCTCCTACTAGATCACCCGAAAATAACACAGCACATCATCAAACTGATGTTGCTGGTGGTAATGCGCAGGAAGGACGTATATCAGGCGAAGATAGGATAAAAGCAAATGTGGATGAGGTAAAGGATGATGTTATATAGTTAAAAACGACATTTCCTCAACCACAACTAATACGACGACGATATCAACAAAAGGAGGCGGTGGAGATGATGATGGTGAAATTATATTCATCATATAAACATTAAAATTTCGACAAATTCTACACGATTATTCAATCATTCATAAAAACATTTATTTCAATTTATTCATTCATTTCATTGATCCCTCAAAGAAACAATTGTCTCTATTGGAGAATAATAATAATGAATTCAATATTTATATTATTGTTCAAGATCTTTGACAGTTTTGGAAGAAATTGCATTTTTTTTGTTTATAAATTTTTTGAAAATTTGGTTTCGTTTTTTTTTTAAAATTTACATTTTGTATTTTTGTATTATTATTTTTTGTATCTTTTACATGGCTGTGTGTTGTAAGAGGAAAGCGAGGCCAAATCATTCCGGAGGAAACCTTCATATACTAGAAATTAAATTATGTAAATTTGCTTTTTTTTTAATTTGTTTAATGTCTCACTTTATCCCTCAAAAATTTTATCACACGCACGAAAAGAACGAACCAAACTACACGGTCTTTTAAATGATACCGTTTTAACTTATTAATAATCACCATTCCGTTTTTTATTTTTGCGTTTTTCCTTGTATATAATAGCAATAAATAAATGACTAATTAAGCCCTCATCATCATCATCCTTGCTTATCCAAAAGCTTTGAGACAATAATAATAAATTATAAAATGATGATAAATGCCACCATCTTTGGATCAAATTAATGACTGTTATTATATAGCATTGGAAGTCAAGAGAAGGTATTGCGCGAGTATTATTATTCAGTTTTTGTTGCTACTAATGATGCAGTATTATTTAAGATCCTCGTCATCAAAGTCATCCGGGAAATCTAAAAAAATTAAAGTTAAAAAACGAACATAAATTTTCTCCTATAAAATAATGATAATAATAAATACAATACCAACCATTAAAGAAGTCCTGATCGACAACCTTATCGCCACCTTGACTATGTTTATGACTTGCTTTATGATGTGCAGCGTGGGCAAAGTAACCTTCATCACCAGAAAACATAAGACCCATGCCGACACCACGCTCGCCGCCACCGCCACTACTACCGCCTACACCTCCTCCTCCACTTCCACCCGCCACCGCAGCATTACCATCACGTGAAAAGCTTCCTTGCTGGTGGTGAAATGAACCACTACCACCGCCACCACCTCCGGACGGAGACTCGTCGATGTATTCGTCAACGGTCATTGGTTCGTAGTAGTCGTCTATAACAAATCATTATTGATTCACTAATTATAAGGTAATGTATTGAAAACGAATACTAAGCAATATCCTGAAGCTTAGAAAATGAATTCGGTTTTAACAACTACTTACCGCTACCGTCCCCTTCCGGCATTTGCGACATTTTGCGTTTCTGTCTTCTAGATTGCTTGTTCTTTGATCTTTTACCTATGATTGCTGAAACAAAGTTGTTATAGAATTTGTCCTTTCAGAACTTTGTGAAATAGTACTTGCAAACTTTAGGTAAATAAGAAGCAGATCTTTACGATATCGTATCTGGTATTAAAATTTACTGAAAATAGATAACACATAAACATGCATACAATGGTATATTGCATTTACTAATTTCACCCCTAATTCTGATTGGACGCAAGTGATTTCCATCGCTGATTGGTTGACTGCACATCGGGTCTTCTGGATTAAGCATCAACCTGGTGACGCGAGAAAATCAAAAATGAGAATAATGTGAAATATACGGAAAACGTATGCTTGAAGCCTAATCAGAAATGCCGGAGAGTAAATTTTACATATAATTTTATCCTTGACTCCAACGCTAAAATTAATCTTTAATATCCTCAACCAATCAAGAACTTGGGGGTGGAAATTAATATATTAAGATAAATCTGAGGATATGATCAATTACTAGTATTAATATGGTGCAAGAAATCTTAACAATATAATGAGTCGTTTTACAGATGGAAAGTTAGGTATTTTTTATATGATTAGTTCAAAATTGAAACAAATCACATGATAAAAATCATGTGATTAAATTTGATTGGTTAGCATTATTATAGTGCTAGCCCAAATTGTAATTTGGCATATGTCACATGATTAATATCACATATCACATGTTTTTTTGGGCGGGAAATTTACGGACAGTGCTTAGGGACAGTGCATGATCACGTGGATGTGATCACGGAAAATTGACGTTAAAGAGCTGAAGATAAGGTTATCGGGAAGTCTACGGACAGTGCATAGGGACAGTGCAAAATCATGTGATCTTTCCGGTCCAGTGTCGGACAGTACTT